GTAGTAATGGTAGTACCTGAACGACACGCCAGCCGAAAGAGAGAAGTTAAGCGGGTGAATCCCTAAGTGAAATTAGAACAAAACTACCGTATACTGGAAACGTATACGACAAGAAGGACCTGGGTAATATGAAGATTTTATTACTAAAAAACTTGAAACCTGTGAAGAGTTGGTCGTTGAGATTGTAATAGAACGACGACATTATAGGCCTCGCTTGTGCTATGTGTGTAGTGTTACACAACGAAGTTTCAGAATTAAACTTTCGCTGTGTAACCAATATACTTTCGTTTGACTTGCGTAAACTTTAGTGTAACATTTAATAGTTTAAGAGAAGTATAAAGTATACTTTAATTAGACTTTAAATGGTACATAGGTTATTTTAGAGTTTATTAATGTATATATATAGAGTTATATGTATCTTAGTTTAGAGAGATTAGTCTTTTAGTTTTAGTGAGTTTTTGTATTTCGGGTTGTTTGTTTGGAACTCTTAGTAAGTTTGGAACTTGCTAAGTAGTTAGGGAAATAAGTGTATTAGTATTGCTAGTGTGTCTGGGACACAACGTTAGGATATTTGTTTGTTACTTTTACGGTGCCGTTTGTGATAATAAAACATTCAGTTTATTTCTGTTAATGATTACGGCCCTCAGTTAAATTGGCTAAGTGGATAACAAGTCTCTCCCTTGGCTGTAACATTTATGGTGCCGATTGTGTGGAATTACAAAACTAATAGGAAATAAAAGTCGATTAGTATAGAAAGTTTTAATAATAGTCGAAAGAAAAAGTGGAACAAAAATCATTTAGTGTTAACATTTTAATATTGTTTTGAACAAAAGCCGAAGGTCGGCTTGTGTTAAAATCTAATAAGGGACATAATTCAAATTAGTGCTGTGTTGAAATAAACAAAAATTAGTAATAGAAATTTAGATAAGGAAGCAAAAATCGTATCCGTATTACGTTGAATTAAGGTATTAACGACGACAAAGAATCGAACAATATATTAGTAGCGAACGTTAAAGAAAATAACTAAGGGCTTGGATGAACGAAACGATAAATAGATATATTAACGACAACTTGAAATAAAGCCTTGATGACTAACGACGACGGGCCTACGGACGAATATATGACTTACGAACCAGTAAACGCATCAAAGAGTAGTAATAAAACCGGCAAGGAGAAAAGGAATATGTCTATAGTGAATGATGATATTGTTATGGATCGAAGCTATACTTCTAAGGGCAATAATGTAAAGACCAACGTAAGTCTTCTGGATACGCCAAATGATGGCCCTGATCAACAAACTCGGCGAATTTTACAAGCGATAGCCGATGCACTAGAGCTGAGAGCTCAACCAAAAGAGCAAATCATAGTCAGGATTCCTACGTTTGCTGCGGGAAATCAAGACCCGATAGAATGGTTGGAGCTAGTGGAACAAGCCTTCGAGGAAAATAATATTTCAGAAGAACGAAGGTTGGCGGTAGTCGGTCCGCATCTTTCCGGAGCAGCGGCACTATGGTGGGCTAGGTAAAGCATAGGATACAATATTGGAATAGTGACCTCTTACCTCGACAAAGCTTTGCTCACCAATTTCAGCAAAATTTCTGTTCCCAAACTTTAATCAGCCAATGGAACAACGAATTGTTGATGAGACGACAACATGTTGGAGAGACGGTAGATCAATACGCTACCGATTTGTTGTCCCTATTCAATCGTGTTACTAAAGTCGGAAGTCAGTATTCGGAAGTAGTGATTTGTCTTTAGCAGTGGGGCCGTTTATGTCAAATACATTACAAGAAGCAATAGATCGGGCTAGGATTTGTGAGATAACTTTCGCCCGTGGACTAGCACTTTGTGGACCTGAGGCTATATATAACACGGTATCTGGTACCTCGGCTTTGCAACAATCATTTTTGCAGCAACCTAGAAGATAAGAATTTATATCATGTAGAGATATTAAAAACAAAACATGAACGTGGGGTTTTTAAGCATGATGAATATATTGTGAATAAATTTAAAGAGATCATTTTGATAGATGAATTTGAAAATATTAGTCTTTTTGTTATTCATCTTACAGATGTTGATGAAGCCAGACATTATTATGAATTTAATTCTGAGAAATACTATAAACAATTAGAAAAAATAGATAAACAGATCAGTGAAATTTTATCTATTTTAGATAGAAAAGGATGGTTAAAAAATTGTTTGTGGGTACTCACAACTAATCATGGTGGTGTTGGTACAATGCATGGTAAAGATTCTGATTTGGAGCAAAATGTATTCATAATAATGATGGGACCAAATATCAAAAAAAATTCCATATTTAGTAATAATTTAACTAGAAATTTAGATTGTACTTCTATAATTTTATATGCATTGCAATGTAATATTTCTTGTTATTTTGATTCTCAATTACTATTATGTAATTTGGAATATTAAACATTTTTAGTAGTCACTCTACAAGAATTAATTTAAGATCTTTAGCAAGCTTCATTGTATATATTCTAATATGCAACAATAGGAAAATTGTTGAAGCTAGGGATTTTGGTCTTCTGGATGCAATTTCTTGAATAAATAAATATAGAAATGTAGAAGATCATGGTATACAAAAAGCATTCAAATTATTCAATTATTATTTATTAATAATTGATAAATTACAAAAATAATTAGTCATTTTGATACTGGCTTTTAAATCTGTATAACCTCCTGTTGATTATATAATTAAATATAGCTTTATTTATTTTGCATCATGTGCATTTTATTAATTCATATTTGTATCTTGTGCAAATATATTAATTTTCATCACTAGCAATTATATGTAATATTTTACTCAAAAAAATATGAAGTAATTATAAAAAACTGTATGTTACCAATTTAAAAAACTATTTAGCTATTAGAGATTAGTTTAGATTTCACTACTATAAAAATTCTCAAGAAAAGCTTTGACTAGCATGTAGATAGTTTAAATTTGAAAATTTTTGGCAAGATTATTGAAGAAAATCTTATTCAAATTTTTTGATAAAAAGAATTGCTTAGAAATAGCTTCATACAAAGTTTTGTAAAAAATCTTAGTTTAAGTACATAGTTGTTCTTGATTGGTTTGTCTAGATCATTATTACAGTTTAGTTAGTATTGTATTTTTGTATTATAGTGAGAACACAGCCTACTATTAGAGATTTAATTTTTCTTTTCTTTTATTATATAATCAGATTCAATTTAAAGTAATTAATAAATTATTCTTAGCAATTAATCTAAACAAAGCAAATAAATTGGCACTTGTTACTCTAGGAATACAATACTTTAAAAATGTAAATACACAAATATATATTAGATGACAATCAATATTAGTTTTAAAAATTGCAATATTATATCTGAATGATTTCAAGTAAGACATCCATAATTTACTTAAACCAATACTGTATTCTTTTTGTATTATCTTATAACAATACTGGTTTAATATAAATTATGAACACCCCAATTCATCTTGCAAGGTGTCATCTGATTTCAATCAGTTTTATTAATTAAAACATAATGCATAAATGATATGAGAAAACTAACAATACTAATTATGTAAATAACAGTTTACATCTAGTATATTGAACAAAGTGTTTAGTATTCAAGTTTCAGTTTATTAATAGATTATTATTATAGTGTTAAAAGTAATAAATTTTGTAATTTAAATAAGTAATCGATCAAAATTTACAAATATTAACAACCTATTACTTCTGACGTTGTTACCTCACTACAAACTAACAATATTTCACATAAAACTTTTCAAAACTCTACTATTCTTGTATCAAATAGACAATATAAG